AATGCAAACCCGATCCAAAGCTAGCACCTTTTGCCCCAAACAAATTCTAAATCTCAACACCTCTGCACCCATTTCCCCCTTACCCCCAACTTACCGTAGTGCTCTCAAGGATCCAAACTGGCATGCTGCTATGTGTTATGAATATAATGTTTTGATCAAGAATGACACATGGGAATTAGTACCCCCCCCCCTCCCCCACACAAAATGTCATCACCGGTAAATGGCTCTTCAGACATAAGCTTGGCCCTTCAGGTGAGTTAACCAGGTATAAGGCCCGATGGGTTGTTCGTGGTTTTAATCAGCGTTTTGGCGTCGACTACGGTGAAACGTTCAGCCTCAGTCTTGCTCTGTCTCGCGGTTGGCCCATTCATCAGCTAGATGTCAAAAATGCATTCCTCCATGGCCAGCTTCAGGAAACCGTGTATGCGAGTCAGCCGTCTGGTTTCTAGGATGCCACACGCCCTCATTCAGTCAAACATCGTAACCGCGTAATCTAAAGTTTATTTTTGGATGGAGGGAGTATGTGTGTGTGTGTGTGTATATATATATATATATGTTGGTCCGTTTGGAAGCTCTACAACTCCTTTCTCTACCAAGGACATAAACCATCCATCAACGGGCTGTTGACATCCATAAACAAACTCACTCAAGCTTGGTTTTGGGCAAATAAATTAGATACCACTTTTTTGTATAAGTCATCTATTTTTCAAGTGGGCATTTGTAGTTTCTAGAACACTAGATTGTAATCCCTCCTCTTTTTTTCCTCTTGTTTAATAAAGTTATATATATGTGTGTGTGTGTGTGTGTGTGTGTGTGTGTAGGATTATTTTTATAATATTCACCATTTATTTTAGTTTATTACTTCTCAAAAAATAATTATATAAATTTAATTACATATGCATATTTATTAATTAAATACTTTGTTTCAAGACTTTTATCTTATCACATTATTTATTTTATTACTACATATATTTTTCAACAAAGTAAATTGAATAATGTTGGTTTAATTGAAGGATGACAAGAGAATTTATGCCACATATACATTCTCTAATGATATATCATTATTTAGTTAGTCTATTTTTAATTATAATATTTTATTATTTAAAACCATTTTCATTAGTACTTCATTCAATGACCACTAATTTTGTATAAATCTTTTTGTTTTTAAATTAACATACCAATATATATTCCAATAGTTTAAAACATATTTTGTCAATAATAAAAAATTAAAATAAAAAGATTATATTTATAGAATGTCAAAATTTTATTTTAGAATATTTACGAGCCTGTGCGAAACACGAGATTGACAATAGTGTGTAGTATAAATTGGAGTGCGAACACCAAAAATTAGAGTGTAAATATCATTTCCCCCTTATTTTTCAATTTTTTCATTTGTTTCAAATTTAAAAAACTCTACAAAAAAACTCCCTCTATCCCATTTTAAGTTAGATATTTCCTAATTACAGGGTCAATCTTTAATAACTTTTTCTGCACATTTTGCTATCATTTATTAAAATAGTATAGTCAAATCACTTCTAGTTTTGTAGAATTTTTTAAAATAAATTATATAATTGATTCATTATAATGAGGGGGTTTCCCAATTTAGTCTTCTATTATCAAATAATAGCCGGCGGTCCTTCTTTNATTAAAATAAAAAGATTATATTTATAGAATGTCAAAATTTTATTTTAGAATATTTACGAGCCTGTGCGAAACACGAGATTGACAATAGTGTGTAGTATAAATTGGAGTGCGAACACCAAAAATTAGAGTGTAAATATCATTTCCCCCTTATTTTTCAATTTTTTCATTTGTTTCAAATTTAAAAAACTCTACAAAAAAACTCCCTCTATCCCATTTTAAGTTAGATATTTCCTAATTACAGGGTCAATCTTTAATAACTTTTTCTGCACATTTTGCTATCATTTATTAAAATAGTATAGTCAAATCACTTCTAGTTTTGTAGAATTTTTTAAAATAAATTATATAATTGATTCATTATAATGAGGGGGTTTCCCAATTTAGTCTTCTATTATCAAATAATAGCCGGCGGTCCTTCTTTCATGTTTATCTTTCCATAAATAGTCTTTTCTTGATCTTCTTTTATGTTGGTGTTACTTTGAGGGATAAAAGTGTAATTTCAATTTTTCTTGGTAAATATATTTAAATTTTGACGACCTAGTAAGGAAAAAAATTGTGCTATCGTATAAATTTTATTTGAATAGATTTATTCTGAAATTTGGTTTTGAGATACTAATTTTTGATATTTTGTAATGCTTTGTAAATATTAGTAATGAAAGTAGTAAATGTATTGGAAACAATAATCAAAAGTCAAAATTGTAGGGGAGGACTAAGGAGTAAGTGAATAGAGTGAGTGTCTGATTAGATTCCCAACGAATTGGGATGCAAAGTCAACACTCAACGTATCAACCAACAAAGTGCATCGAATCACATACAAATTAACAGTATATACAGTCAAGCTCCACCCAGGCCAAAAGCTCAGTCACCCGAGCATCAGAAGCCACTAGCTATAAAATATCAAGAGAACATCTCTTAACTAAAAATACTAATTAACCGGGCAGGCCGGCCATATATATACTCATACCAGCATATGCATGTTGACATGTTGTGATACAGACACACAACTCAAGTATAATTGGGAAGATAGGCTAGGGAATCTGGGAATGTATGAAGAAAAGAAAGAGGCTGGCGACCGGAACAAGGCGGGGCAACATTGATAGATGGAGCACGTAGACCAGTAGATAGCGGGGAAAAACTAGAAGAAGAATATAATATCAAGTAGCCAGATATGGGTTTTCCTGTAAAAAAACTTTGGTTGGCAGCAGCTTCATCAGCTGGTGTTAAGGATGGTAAACGAGGTAATTAGTCTCTACCACTCCACTAGCTCTCTTTTACTGTTTTGGAGTTTAAATCCATAATTAGCTTTTTCATCTACCTCTCTTACTTACACCAAAATTATTAAGCTTATTTGATTGGTTGGGTTATTATTATTATTATTATTATTTTTAATATGGCGTCCAATATCAGGTGCGAGGACAGGGCTTTTGAAGCTCCGTGATGAGATACAGAGTTGTGGGTACGAGGATGTTCAAGTGATGTGGGATATGATGATGAGAACAACAGAATCCAAGTTGATGATCACTACCCCTCTTCCACATGACAATAACAATAATAACAACAACAACAATAACAATAAGCCGCCTAAACAGAGACCATTTTGGAGAGTTTTTGTCTGGTCGTCGTCCAACCACAAAACTAGTCAATCAGCTGCACTCTAAAAATTTGCCAAATAAACCTGGCTGGCTAGCTCCGATCCTAAACTCAGAATGAAAGAAATGACAAAACAAACACCTCCTATCCGATTCTCTGAAGAAGAATGTGTATCAATATCGTTTCTAGTTTGTATCCCCCCGGACTGGAGAAGAACAGTCTTGTAAATAGAGTATGCTACTGCAGTATATCATATATGCATGCATGTGTTGCGGAGTACTATTTCATATGGGTAAGTGTAACGGTATATTTAGATTTCTTAAAGGAAATACGGAGTAGTATATTTCTATATATATTAGTATTTGATTTAGATGTATATAGTAGTTTTCGTGTATTATTCTTTTTCCTTTACACTATTACACTATGTTTGGTTCAAGAAATTTGAAAGAACAGAAAATGAGAGAAAATTATTTTCCGCAAGAAATTAAAATGGAAATAGTTTAGTTTTCCTCCCCTTAGTAATACATTTGCCTTCTCATTTTCTTTTTCTTTCATTTCTCCTCTCTAACCAAACAAGAAAGACTCTTTTCCTCTTCATTTTATTTTTCTTTTCCCTTTCAAATTCTTTGAATCAAACATAGTGTTAGTTTTTCTTTCCTTTCTCAGTTTGTTTTCATATAGAGTTCCCAAGGCTTTATCCCTAATAGCCTAGCGAATTAAAGAATGTAAACGAGTTACATTTTAATAATGTGAAAATTGCACTGAATAGGACTAAAACATAAGTCATTTCCTAATGTAGGACTTAAACTTTTTTATTCCTTAAATAAGACTTAATAATGACTAGTGAGAAGAATAATGTCCAAGTGATGCGGGACATTTAGTATTATAATGACTAATAGATAATGACCAATGATATATTGGGAAATAAAAGCATATGATCCTAGATTGAGAAAGTCATTGTGTTTTAGTCCTATTTAGGTAAATTACCCTTAAATAATAGTCGCTGCAATAGTATTATAACAAAATGAGTAAATGACAAAATTATACGGAGTAGTAAAGGTTCATATAAACTTACATCAAAAAACCAATGCTTTGAAAATTAGACAGGACGTTTACCCGAATGAACTATTGGGTCAGGGTTAACTGGTCGAACCGATCGACTTGAAGGCCAACGGCCCGGTCTGTAACACCCGCCTTCCGTGGACCCGGTTCACCCACGACCCAACACACCGGTAGGGTTACATGGGCGGTCCGAGAATCGTCCGTAGCAAAAAACATTAATGCTTATTTATTATGAAAACGGTTGGGTTTAATTAGTGGAATAAATGCTAGGGAGTTAACCCCAAAACGCGTGTGATATAAATGTAGAGTAAAAGCGAAAGTAAATAAGTAAGTCCAAAATAAGTAGAAACAACATATGGTGGGTTCATGCCCAATTGATTAATTAATTAAATGTATTTAAATATTAAACTTGTCCGTGTGCCGCCCATCTTCTCATCATCACTGTCCTCCAGGGTTAGCACATGTACCGTCATGCCTACCTGCGTGTAGCAAAAACAACTACACGCTCAGCAAAAGCTGAGGAGTGAATCTAACAAAAGAACATGAAGTGATAACCCATATGATTATACACATATTAATACATGTACTTCACGTATAGAAAACCACATGTTTACTAACTGTTTAGTTTGCACATGTTGGGGTACTATTACATATAACAGAATGATGTGCTACCACATTGAGTGTGAATGTGATGTGGAACATACATGATGATGGTATGGCTTGATGCATAACTTAAACTATCAGGGACACCCCTGGCTTAGTCTCACTTGACAGGCTCACCCTTGCACTCCGGTTGTCATACCGAAATGGTAATGAGCCGGGTACAAGTGGACTAGCAAAATCGGGTGGTAGCCGTAATCTGACTGCCATGTACGTACACAAAGCCCACCTGATGAAAACCCGTTGGATCCCAAAGGTTCCTGGACGGGCCCACTGTAGTAGGCACACGAAAGCCTGACCTCCCTACAGCGGTATGCACATGATGATAAACCTAGGATATGCGTCTAGGATGAACATAATGAATGCTTGATATATTTACCTTTGGTCAACGCCAAAACTATATCAATTAAATAACATACATATCGTAGATTAACATTTCATGCAAACATACAATCAGTTTCTAGGTCAATATGGTCAACGGGACTCGTTCTACAAACTACCTAGAAATCTGCCCAAGGAACGGTCGACCGTACCCTACCGGCGGTTGACCGTGCGCTATGGTCTCGGTCTCAATCGGTCCACTGTCGTGGCTGGCGGTCGACCATCTCAAACGTACCCGAAGGCAGTCCTCTGTCTTTGGCTTCGTTTTGATCCATTTTGAAAACTTAACACCTTGATTCTTTTTAGAACAATAATACAAACATTGACAAATATATTCCTAGTGATTCCCTAGGCCAATATATATACGTTTTACGTAGTGATCATTTTGATGGTTAACCTACGAACATGCATAGATTCTACGTAGGTTGCGTACGATATTCCTATGAATATAATGACATAGATCATAACTAAATGTTCTAGAATTAGAGGGGACAACTACTCACCTCTAAATGAAGGGGTTGACGGACCGATGGAACAAGATGAACGAACGATGTCTAACGAACGGACAATGAATAACGAATGGCTTCCCGCGTAGCCTTCCTTCCTTCCCTTTTGTCTATTCGCCGGAACTCCTCCTTGAGCTGCTGCTGCCTTGGCCGAAAATAAGAGAGAGAGTTGTGAGGGTGTGAATGTTTGGGGGGTTACAAGTGTGGTGGGGAAAATGAAGAGAGAAAGGAGTCATTATATGGGATGGGTAATGATGAGGATTAATGGGCAATTGATGGAAAATAATGGTGGATGAATGTGGGGATATGAAGAGAGAGTGGGTGTGGCGTGGAGAGTGAAGGAATTAAATGGGGAATTAATTCCCTATATTCTATTCCGTTATGTAAAATCTGACCTGAACGGTACGCGGTTTCCCCCCAAACGGGTCCGAATTGAGATCCGTTTGTGTTTCCGAAATTAGACAGTCAAAACGAATTTAATGACATGTTCAAATAATTTTTCTAAGAACTTTTATTTTCCCCAACTCCGGTCCGGAACAGTAATTAATTATTTAAAACAATCAATTCTATTAGACCGGGTTGCAGGGCGTTACACGGTCAACTATATATAATTAACGTAATAATGTTTTGTATTATATTATTAGAAATTTTTTAATAATAAGGAAGTTTATTTGGTATTTTTATCTACTTTATAATATTATTTTGCATTTACTATCACATGTTTTTTCTATTTGTATTATTTTTTATTAATATTAAAGATAAATAATGTGTAACGCCCCAAAACTAGGCCTATCAGAATTAATTAATTGATAATTAGTTAATTACTGAGAAGGACCCAAAAATAACTGAATTATAAAGTTTGTCAATAAATAATGAAAATTATATCATTATTAGAGTTTGACTGTCTATTCACAACGCTTCAATCGGATTTCAATTCTGAGAAAGTTGGGCCAAAAAGTGTACCCCGACTGGGACCAAAAGTCAGTCCCAATAAGGGAATCAAACAAACGTCAGCTACTGTGCGAACGACGCACTAGCCGATTCTCCGATCCTGGAAATCACCAACCCATGTCTTCTTCTTCCTCTTGCTACTATATAAGAGGAACTCATCTTCCTCATTTCTCCACCAAATTATACAATACTTCCTTCTATCGTGCTGCTTTGAGTGAGGAAAACACACAGCTTTGTGAGAGGTCGCCGGAGTTGAGAGCTATTGTCGCTGGAATTTTCACCGAAAATTTTCCAAAACCTCCATTAAGCTTCGAGGTAAGCCCGTAGATATATCTAATGACTATAATGTTCACATAGGTCGTTTCTACGTTCATAAATGGTCATTTGGTTGAGTTTTGTGTTTGATATGTTTGAAGAACTAAGAATCATAAACCTTAAAATTGATGTTAAAACTATGAATTAATGATGCCAAAATGATCTATGAACCTTGGAGAACATCTCTATATAGTTTCGTTGAAGTTCGGTGATTAAAAATGGTATTTCCGAAAAATAGACCGAAGGTCGAAGAAGATGAACAGTGACCCAAAACTCATTGCTTGGATCGTACCAAAAATAGCATTTTCAGACTTAAAACTGTTCGGAACGATCGATCGTACCGTTCTGGAAAAGTTTCCCGTCGGACAGTACCTAGAGACGATACCTTGGTACCGTTTAATCAGTATGCGTCTAGCATAAAACGTACAGGAGGATCGAACTACTGTTCATCATCATCAAGCTTCGGCCCATTTTTTCTAACTCCATTTTAAGTCATCAAACTTCAATTAAGTTGTATAGAAACGTTCTTCAAGGTTTGTAGATCCATTTTAGAGGAATCACTTCGAAGTTTTAACAACAAATTCAAGGGTTATGATTCTTGGTTCATTTGATGAGTCAAACACAAAACTCAACCAAACGACCATTTCTGAACGTAGAAACGATCTATACGAACATTCTAGTCACTAAATTTATTTATGGGATTACCTCGGGCTTAAATGGAGGTTTTGGAAGTTTTTCGGTGAAACTTGCGGCGGACACCATGGCTTGCTCTGGCGACTTCACACCAAATTGACAGCACCACTGCGTTCTCCTCTCTCAAAGAACAGAATAGAAGAAAGAATTGTAATAATTGGTGAAGAAATGAGAATGGTGAGTAGCCTTATATAGGATTGGTGAGGAAAAAGGAGACAAGGATTTACGTAATGGAGATCAGTGAAAACTCCTTAGTGTTACTGGGATGCAATTGAGTTCCGATCACTACGTCACTCCCTAATTGGGACTAATTTTGGTTCGAGTTGAGGTATACTTTTTGGTCCAATTTTCTCCGGATTCACTTCCGTTTGCACCGTTGCGATCATTCAGTCGAACTCTATTCAATGATATGATTTTTATATTTATTTGTAATACTTTTTCCGACATCATATTTTTGGGTGTTTGACTTTGATAGAGTCAAAACTGATTTAGTTGACCTTTATTTAAAAAGGTTCTTTCATTTAATTCATGCTACTTATTTTCATGATTTATTTCAAGAAATCATTTCAAGGTTCACATTATAAACAAATTATTTATTTATTCTTAATTTGGGTCTTTACTCTCATTCCCAATCAAGATCATACAAATAGTCAACATATAGAATTTATCTTTATGAGATTTATCCAGATTGTTATATTGGATATGAGAACATATTTCATTTTGGCTCAAAGCCCAATAATAAATTATTTTAATCAAAACAAATTTGATTAGTTAAAAAATTATTCATTAACATTTTAGGGTATGTTTTAGGACGTTACAATTTTTGTATCAATGTTTAATACTCCTTATTACCCTAAAAAAGTTTTCTGTTCGAACGACGGGTAAAATCTTGTTACTTTTAACATGATTTTATTTACATATTGGTATAAAAGTAAACAAATTAGATATTTAATTAAAAACTGCATACAAATTTCTACAAAATAATAAGTGACAAGATTGGTCAATGAAAAACATGCAAACAAACAGAAGTTATTGAAAAGGTGTGATAGTAAAAGGATAAACTATTTTTGGACGAAGGGACTATTAATTTTATCCAATTAACAGTCAAAGTTTTTGGTAAAAATTTAAAACTTGACAAATATTCCCAAACATCGTTATTACCATGGGCAGCCTGGAGGGTGTGCAAGGTGTGAACTCACATAGGACCACCAAACTTTTATGCCCCAAGATAGTTAGATGTTCGTTATTCTAATTGCTTGATATTTTTAAAATTTAATTTTTGAATGTAAGAACTTATATTTTAATAGTAAAAAATGTTATAAAAGTGGTTATTCAAAATCAAATTTGACTCTAATTTCAAAACATAAGTACTTCGCACAAAGCAATACAGGATTCAACATGTAAATTTTAGACATGGTCAATCTTATTTTTTAACATTTCAGGGCCGGTCCATATTATTAGGAGTGTGGAAAAATACCAACCCGACATTATTTCGAACCCATCCGTCATTGTACCGAATTGAAAAATAATAGATTTGTAAATAGTTTTATTATATTATATCCCGAACCGAACCAAACTGTTTTCAAAATTGTAAGGACGGGTTCTAAAAAATACCTAATTAAACCGTTACCATTACAATAAATTAATAAATTATACATTTTCATTTGTTATTTTTTAGTAAGTTTAAATAGTATTAATTTGGTGTGAATTTAACATAGTTAAACTTATCTTTTTATAGTACTTTATTATGGTGATGTACAACTCAAATTATTATTTTATTTGTTGAAAATCAAAGTATAATTATGTTTTGTCAAAAAATGTAATCAAACAATACACTTGTTGAGTACGAATGCATAAAAATATTACTACACTTATATTTTTACTTACGTCGATTGTTTAGTTTGAATAAAAATATTTTCAAAACATCGAAGTATTATGGAATGGTTTGGTATTAGTATAACATAGTATCATCCCATTATCGAACGACATGCTATCAAATGAGTTTAGGTGTAAAACAGAAACCGAACCGAACCATTTAAATAGTAACAGTACGGTACATGTTCTTTAAAAATACCAAACCGTCACGGACCGGACCCACCACTCACTCCCTAATACTCTCTTACCTAAAATGATATAGAGATTAGAGAATTAGAGATATTAATAGAAACCGGATCCGCCCACCCCTACCTTCCATCGCCTGTTGTTGGAAGTCTGTTTTGGTTTTTCCTCTCTCGTTCGGACTTGGTACTGCTGGGATTTGACAGTGCTTTCATGGTACCAATTCCTCAATCGGGCAAGACAAAAGCAGAGAGTACACAAAAGTTAGTAGCGTATTGGATTTCGGTTCGGTGTAAAATTTTCTTTCGAATATTCATTCTGTTATCAGCCAATTGGATTTATTAGAACTCTTCGTCTTCTAACGGCTTCAGCGGGGCCTGAAAGTTTCGGCGTACCTTTCCGGCCGCGGGAGTGGTTCATGGCACCTCAAACGAGAGAGCAATATCTGCAGGCGACTTCTACTACTGCCACAACAAAAAAACCTCGGAGCCATGGTTCTGATTGTAGTGGGACAAAAAGTGTGGTGATCGACCTCACTGGAGATGATGAATTTCATGTTTTCAAGGCGAAATCTAAGGCCTCCTCAAGGTTGAAAACTGAGTGTTCCAGTTCGAAACCCATCTATATAGAAATTGATGATGATGATGATGATGATGATGCGGGCATGGAAACGGGTCCTCCACCATTCATGTGTCAAATATGCTACAAGTTGAAACAACCTAATGAATATTTCAGAATAATGGGATGCGGTCACTCTCACTGCTTCGATTGCATATCCAAGTTTGTGGCTTCAAAGATACAAGAGAACATTGCCCGAATCAGTTGTCCCAATCCCGGGTGCGCGGGCGTTCTAGAGCCTCACCATTGTGCATCAATTTTGCCAAAGAATGTTTTTGATCGCTGGGGGGACGTCTTGTGCGAGGCATTGCTTTTGGCCTCTGACAAGTTCTATTGCCCCTTCAAGGATTGCTCTGCACTTCTGCTTGATGAGAAGTTGAATGTGGTAGAATCTGAATGCCCCGAGTGCAGGAGACTGTTTTGTGCTAAGTGTAAGGTCCCATGGCATCCCGACATGGCTTGTTCTGAGTTTCAGAAATTGCACAAGGACGAGAGGGAGAGTGGGGATTTACAGCTTATGCATTTAGCGAAAGACAAAGAATGGAAGAGGTGTCCTAATTGTGGAGTCTTTGTTGAGCGAACTGAAGGCTGCCCTTTCATGAAATGCAGGTTAATTTCTTCACACAATTTAGGCAAATAACACGTTAAGCTTCCCTAGTTTATTACATTTTGTAATGTGTTGGGCAGTGAGTGCAGCAATGCATCAAAAACACAAACAAACCTGTCTGTTTCTTTAGGGGCAAGGTTGTGTACATCTTGACCCCATACCCCAACTTTCTTGAGATTTTACTAATGTTGTGTGGCTTAAAAATCGTTCGATGGTGGAAACTGAGTGTGGAGCAGAATGAGGTTTAGCGTTCTTCGTATTACCTCTGGCTTAGGCATGAATAGAACCAAGAAGGGGGGGATGGGTGAGCCTTTCTTGAGAACTCCCTACTCAGAACGAAAGTTCTTTTAACAGTTTATCAATACTCTTTATCTAATACGGAGTAAAAGGATAGGCTAAATAGTGGGAACACATGGTGCTGTAATTTGAAACTAATAAACACTACGAGTCCTATTAAAAAACCATGCTACTGCCAAATAACAGCTCCGCCAGTGTGTTAACCCAAGCCCTATGGCACACTCCCTTACGCGATACAAGATTATATGCATATCCGTTTGTAGTTGAGTGGGGAGAGATTGGAGATTAGACTGAGCAATATGATCAATAAAAGAGTAAAATAGGATATATGATGCATGTGTGACAAATTAATTTGAGGAAATGAGGTTGGCCGAAGATTAGGGTAGAAATTTATCAAATTAAGATTTTTTTGAACTTGTATTTGACAACCCATCAAATTAATCTATCCTTAGATCTAGCAAAAGTGTAACGCAAGTCTGCAAACTATATAATTGTACAAGTTTTGGTTCATTCTCCTGGAAGCTCAATATACATAGTTACATACATACACGGCAAGTTAACTGAAGTGTAAAGAACAAGAGTTGTTGAAACTAGCTTATTGCAAAATTAATTAGCCTAAAGAACCATGAGCGGCTACGATACGGTATTCTAAGTTTCTTCTTGGGTGAATCTGTAACCTTGGTTAGCCGATTCATTTTATGTAGTTTCCTAAATCAAACCAGAAATTTCCGTGGACCCCTGAAATATGAAGCCAATGTTTTGGCACTTTGGCGTAACCATCAAGCAATGCTAGCTGCAATTCTAATCAGTTAAAAATGACAGCTGGTAATGTTATTTGGAAATATCTAGTTCTTAATAGGTTTCTTCTTATCTTCTACTATCACTTGCTTTTTAGAAATCTTCTCTGCATTTTCTGGTGTATTACTGATTGTAGGTGTAAATGTTCCTTCTGCTACAAATGTGGAGCTCGTACAAAAGATCACCATTGTAGTAAATGTGGCACTTAGAATCTCGTCCACTCTCTTCGGGATTTGCTCTTAACGAACCGATGTTAGTCTTCAGTGCTAGCAGAGAATTATTCCTCCAGGAGTGTTGACGATTAGAGTTTACATTTGATGTATAATATGACCCTTTTTTTGGATGGATGTGATTTTGAATATGAGCTGTTTTCTGAAGGAGGTCTATTAACTTGTTCAGATGTTCTCAATTTTAGTTTGTGTCATTCCCATTCTTGTCTTTGATAGCATTGGAGTGTAAGACTCATGTTTCTGCAAGGTGTAGATGAGTAAAGAAAATCTGAGCACTTATATTTATGCTCTTGGAGCATGCTGTTTCTGTTTTACACTGTAATGAGAACCATCCTATGATAATTTCCAAGCACGGCCATGGTGGTTTTGCTAAGCACGATGCTAGCGGACTGCCTTGTTGCATGAGCAACAAGTAGCCGTACACATTATTCTTAGAGCATGTGCAGCGGTGTGGTGAATTACTCCCACGCCCTGCCAGATCAGCTATACCATGCGTGGATGAGGCGAGGCAAAGCAATTTCACCCCTTTCTCCGTGTCAAATGCGAGGCAACTCCTTTTCATCTTTTTAATTTTCTTTAATTTTTTTTTAATTTTTTAATTTATTTATTTTTGTTAAATAAGAAATATTTTTAAAAGGAGTATATCTATTTTTTATTCGAAAAAAAATATGAACAAAATAAATTTAAATAATTAAAACTTGTGAAAAATATAAAATTGATAAAAACAATGACTTGCCACTACATGACATACCACTCCACTCCCGTGCCACACGCTGACTGGATTATTTTTAATTGGTTGAAATCTTCCACATCATCGTGTGTCATTCTCTTTCTTACTTGTCATTGTGAATGCTCTTATATTGTATTATATATTTTAATTACTAATTTATCACATTAATTGCAAACAGGACGATAGTATACATTTCAACTATAATTCATCCCTCCCACCCCTAAAGGTTTTCTTGCCATTTCGGTTTTCCTATCAAATTTGACACAACTCGTTTATTTTCTCATATATTTTTTCTATGCTTTCAATTACATTTACATTCTTTCTAACTTATTCAATTCCTTCTAGCCACAGTTTCGTTGCCATTGCCACTAACTTTGAAATTACAGTACTCCATTTTCAAAATTTATGGTTCCTACCCCTAAATCCCCCCACCCAGCCTCACCCTTGCCCCTCGGCCCTTCACCATTGAACCCTCACCATCTTCCAAATGTGTAGTGATTAGGCAATTGCCTAATCAGAACGCATTTGAAGGGAGGCAGGGGTGGGAGTTTGAAGTATCACTTTTGCGAATGGAGCACTGTAAACTTTTTCATAAGCCACGAAACGAAACCAGACCATTACTTTTATCTTTTTTTCTTACTCTTACAATCACTATTGCAAATCTTTCTTACTTTTTCAATCACTATTAGAGACTCTCTCCTACTTTTTCAATCACTTTACACTCTCTTTCTTATTTCAACCTATTCACCGTTGCAATTTCACTCTCTTATTTCAACCTATTCACTATTGCATTTTCAGTTAGAGTTTATTGCACAAATATTCCCCGTGGTTTGTCAAATATGCATTGTTATCCCTCATGTTTTCAAAACTTACGTCGTTGTCTCATATGGTTGTAATATTCCAACACCAATGCTTATCTAGACTAAAATATCCTTCGAATATTAAATGAATAGCTTCGCTAATCCTTGTGGTTTTGGAAATGGGCAGTAACACCCCCTGATATGCACATATTTTATACACTTTTTAAAGCATATTTTGAAGGAGTTTTGAGTCCCAATTGAATTTAATGTTTATATTTTATTTCAATTTTCCGTTTTTATTTTGGTAGAACAGTCCTATACTTGGTTTTATATGTTTTGCAGGTATTTTGAGATCATTTGGACGCATTGAGAATAATTGCAAGAACGGAAAATAAGCATGGAAATTTGGGACAAAAATAAATGGAAGAGATTTGAACAAAAGAAGGAATTGAATAAAAAAGTAAAGAAAAAAATGCCACTTGGATTCAAACCACCGACCTTGGAGAATGCCGGAAGAAAAGAGACCAATGCACCAGTCGCTCCACTTTGTATATGTTTGCCTTTCTAGAGGATAATATCTCTAAATAATCGGCTCAAGAGGAGAAGAAAAAAAAGACAAAACACCGACACTGCATGGGGAATCAAACACGGGATCAAGCAACGAAGACAAGCAACCTCATTTCCATGTGCACTACTATGCTTATATTGGATCCAGTGGAACTGTTTGAATATAATCCGTATATACGAATTCATCTATAAAAACACCTCCCTTCTCTTCTTCTAAAGAGGTTGGAACCCCCCACTTCTCTACTCTCTTTATTTCGAAATTTTCTTCCTCCCTCACTAATATCTTATCACTTTCTTCATCCAAACACATAAAAATTACTCCATCTTCATCATCATCTATCATATTTGGAGCTCAAGAACACGTCTTCCATTTTGTAAGATTTTTATGTTTGTAATACATATTTATTTGTTTAAGCTTCAAACTATGAACTTCTATTCCATTGGGGTTAGAAGTTGGTGTAATTAATTGTCCATCTTAATGTTTTAAATATTTTTAACATGGATTGTTGATTTTATTTTTATTTAGATGTTGTATTTAAAAATAAATAAATTTTGAATGTTTGTGATTATTAAGGACCCAATCATAAACATAATTGTTAAAAGGAATTTGAGCTAAAATTGATATAATCATAAAATAGAACACTTTTTAAATACACCGTAAGGCGTAAGCCTTCTCTACCTTTAACCAGAATTGAAGACTTTTAGGTGGACATAATTATTGAGTTGTATTTTTACACCATTAAATTGGGTAAACATACAATAAAATAATTATGGTTCCCATTGTTAAAAAAATAATTACTCCGGATTTATCATTAGCATGTTAAAGTCGGAGTGGTTATTATTTAGGTAAACTGCGAGAGCGTCCCTAAATACTTTTATGCAATTTATAAAAATATTGGACAATTAATTTACCAATTTCTACCCCTAACTTTTTATCATTAAAAAAACTGTGTTGTTTGGAACTCTCTCCTTTTACACTTTTTATTTTATCTCTAAAACCAAAAAGACAAAAAAAAATATTTTACAAGTTCTTTGGTAAACTTTTGTTTAAACTAAATTAACTCACGTCTCCCTGAGGTTCGACACCCTACTTACAAGGGTTCTTTTTAGTTGTTACTTTTGCTCGTTCTATACTGGAAATCACCCCCTCACCTTTTTTCTTTATTATTTTTCTTTATTCTTTTCTTGTTTATAAAGAGAAAAAAAATGTTTGTATTTGATATAATAAAAAGTTGTTTTTCAAATTTTTCTTTATTTTTTTTAAAATAAAAAAAACTTATTTTTTTGAATCTGTTGGGAGTTGGGAATTAAAGAATAGAAAGTGAGGTCTTTTTAATATTAAATATTTGGTTAATTATATATTTTTTAATATTTTTGGGGAAGATGCACTACAAATTTTCTTCATGACTCAATTTTCCTTATTATATACAAATATTTTTCCATATACTTTTCTTTCTCTTCATTTTCTTTTATGTTCTTTTTTCTTTTATTTGAATTTTGATTAAAATAAAAGAACATTATATAATTAACTTTAAAAAAATTCAAGAATATAAAAAAAGATTCCAGAAAATGAAAAGAAAATGTGAAATGAGCCTTAGTGCAAAAAAGAGAGAAAATATATCATTCGTTCTTGTATCATGAAAATGAACAATAAGGACCTACTTTGGACAAAATGAAAACATTTAATTTGAGACAAATGACTTGTACATTACTTCTTTTTATTTATTTGATTTTCGTTTCAAACACAAAAAATTGTGATTATTAAAATATTATATAGTATAAAAATAGTTTTTCAAAAGAACTTAAAAAACATTTATGAAAAAAAAGAGATGAAAAAAAGAAAAATAGTAAAGAAAAAATTAGGGGGAGTTGGTGCTCTTTTTTCAAAACAATAAGAGGTATCAGAGATATTTTAGTCTATAAGAGCATTGGTGTAGGAATATTAGCACCACGGGAGGCAACAAAGGCAATTTTAAAACCATTAGAGGTAACAATGTTATTTAGCAAACCACGAGGGGGTAGGGTTAGGGGTTAGGGGGTGGGTTAGGGCGGATAGGAACCATGAATTTTACAAACAGAGCACCGTAGGTGCCCGGGTCATAATATGACCCGAGAATCCAAGGTGAAAAGATCCGTGCTCTTATTTTCCAACTTTTAATGGCCCTTAGATCTCAACTCTAGAGCACCACATCCATTCTTTTTTCTTTCATAAAATTTTATTTTCACACACACACACACACACATATAGTGACTCTAGTGAGATGACACCTTACAGTGAGATGACATGCTTAAGTGAGATAACGCCAAACTCACCACACTACACTACAAAGCTCATCAATGGACAATGCAAAGCTTACCTAGAAATAAAGCAAAGCTCACCACTTTGAACAGCAAAACTTACCTTTTTTAAAATATTTGAAAATTAAAAAATTAATAAAAATATAAAATAGCCGGCAGAGCAGCGGCGGTTGCCGGCCACCTGCGGCTTCTAGCGACCAGAGGCGGTTTGCGGCGGAGCAGCAGCGACGGCCGGCGACCAGAGGCGGATCGACGTCAGAGCGGCGGCGGCCGGCGACCAGAGGCAGATCGACGTCGGAGCGGCGGTGGCCAGTGGCGATCAAAGGTCGCGGTCAACGATCAAAATCTAGTCAACACCCGTTTCTTTGATTTTATTTTTTCAAAAGAAATTCGAAGTGTTGAAAAGATATGGTGAACTCTGCCTTACTCTTTGGTGAGCTTCGTAGTTGTCTTTGGTGAGTTTTGCAGTGGCCAGTGGTGAGCTTTGCGTCATCTGACCGTAGCATGTTATCTCACCGTAAGGTGTCATCTCACTAGAGTCAATCCCACACACACACTTAGATACACACACACACACACACACACACACACATTATATATATAGGTGAGATCATGTGATAAAGGCTCCTAGTGAAAGAAATTAGAATGATGGAGAGCCCTTGGATTTGGAGTAATGGATGGCTATGATTGTTTAATAACTTATTAATGATTGGTAAGCTGCACATGGTAAGTTTAAAATTACGTATCTAAAAAAAGAGGCAAACTTCACACTCCAGTTTTAAGAGGGCTCTTGGAATTGTACCCTCCAATTCGAATTTTGGTGGCTATGGCAACGGAGAGGAGTGCTACGACGGAGAAAGAAGTTGGCGATAAGAGTCAGACACCATTAACATCGCCGGAAGAAATAGGTGATTTTTTATATTTAATTTTTTGAGAAATTGAAGATTTTGGTATATTCTGATTTGAAAAAGTGATTGCATGTGTTCCAGTAGGGTTTCAGATGTGTTTGCTGGGTTTGTGAAATATGATGCACAAAATTTAATTTTTATGTCATTGATTTTAGAATGTGGGGAGAGTGGGTGCAAAAACATTGTGGATTATATGTAAGTTTTTTATAATTTTGTTTTTTTTGGGTTTTGGGTGTAGCAGGAGTAGTTGATGGATAATAAACGTCATCAGTGGATTGGTGTTTTATATGATGCATTTCTACGGTTTTGTTGTGCATTATTGTGGTATTTGTGTGCTTAAGTGGTGGAGAGGGTTCGAATTGAAATTAAAGTAAATGAGTTTAAAATTTTTCAGAAAGAAAGTTTGGGTTTTTTTAAGGATTGTTTACTTGATTTTGTGTTTTTTAAGGTATATAGTCTTGTTTAGCAGCCTTACTGTATTTTTTAGCACTTTGAAGTGTTTTTGAAGCAGAGTGTCTGTAATATTAAATGTTTAGATCAGGATTCAATCAGCTAATAAGATGAATGGTTTGGGGTTAGAGAAGCACTTACATTGTATTATTGGATGAGCAATGAATGTTTTCTAAAATGCATCTAACATTCATAATGCATGATGGTTAGTTTGATGCTTGTGGACTGTTTTTTTGGGGCTTTGCATTGAAATAATATGGTTTTGCTATTTGTATAATACAATACAATTGGTATGCATTGTCTTTGTTGGTTTGTGCATTTGGTGATTCTAATTAAGCAAGGTAGTGCATGTTCCATGAAATAATGATTTACGTGAAATATAATGAAAAGAATATTCTACTCCCTCCGTCCATGTATGATCTTCCCATTACGCGTTACGAGGCTTGACCGACTTTATTTTCAATTCAATTTAATTGATTATAGGAGTAAAATTTCAAAATAAAATTTATATAGTAATAAACTACATAAAAAGTTCTACAAAACTAGAGGTGACAAGACTATATTATTTTATGAAATGACTAGTAAAATTGAGCAAACAAAGTGAGTAAAGTTTGACCCTGTGAATAGTGTCTGGGAAGATCTATGGTGGACAGAGAGAGTATTTAATAACATGGATGAATATCTCACATTTGCATAAATTTCAGGATAAGTATTAGGTGGTTTGAGCAGTTTGTAGTTGTTTTGATGTAAAGTGTGTGCACAATCAATTCATTAGAATCAGGATTGTCTCGGTTAAGTATATGCATGATGTGTGGTTGGATAAGCATTCACAAATTAATGTTTGGTTAGGCATTGTGTGTGTTCTAAATTGCATCATTCATCCAGCATGATTGCTGCTAGATTTGATGCTTGTTGAGTGTGTTTTTTTTGGGCAGTTTGAAATGCAATGATATAGGATTCTTGATTTTAAATTATTATTATGCGTATGCATTACCTTTATTGTTTGATTAACTAATTGGTTGTGAAGAAGGTTTGAAGAGCATGGTCTGTGATGGAAGAATATATGTGAAAAACATGGAAAAAAATATAGGTCCTTAATAGCATGAATAAGTATCACAAGTCTGCATAACAAGCAAACATCAGTGCATTACCAAACATTCTTATAGCATGAGTAAGGATCTTGTTAATATTGTTTAATGTGTTTCATGTGTTTGTGAGTTTCACAGCAGTCCAGCACATATTCCTTAAGCGATGTAAAAAGAAGGTACTGAGGGCACAAGATAGCACTCCACGAAGGAGAAGCAGGAGGTTGCAGAGCGTTGTGTTCAGGATGAAAAACAAGCTGCGTGGGGGGCCTAAGAGAATTGATCTTGTTGGTGACGAATCAAACCAAAGTGGGGGGGGTCTGCTGAAGTTGAAGGGCTTAGGGATGAAGCAGACAAAGAAATGACAGAGATTCAAATAAATGCTCAGGTGCATGGTGAGATGGATGATTTGCTTGATGAGAATATGCAAGCTAGGCAGGATGGAGATGATGCAGATGGGTGAAAATAGTGCATCCCCATCAAGTATGGGGAGTGATGGTGACGCAGAAGGCACTGATGAGGAGGATGGGGATGATGAGGATGGAGAAGGCAGTGATGAGGAAGAGGCAGATGATGATGGTGAAGAAGTTAGTGATGGTGATGGATCAGAATGTGATGATGCACAGGGATCTGATGAAGGGGAATCAGAAGATTGCGAGGGGGGGATAATAGAGATGATGATGAAATTGCTGGTTCGGGGATTCAGAATTCTGGAGCAGTTCAGAGCTTTGGGCAGCGGTTGATGAAGCGGAAAAGGCAGCAGAAGTGCGGTAGAAGTATGAAGAATTTATTAATGATGTGCCTTCTTTCAGTCTAGGGATGACTCAGATTCTTGAAGAAGAAGGTGGGGGTGAATCCGAGATGGAGAGCACGCGTGAGATGCAGAAGAGCAATGAGGTGAACGAAGAGATGACGGCAGCGAACATCACTCATGCAGATCCTCACAACACCCCGAACATGGCTGTTCCTCATGACACCCCGAACATGGAACTTGAGCAGAACAAAGAGACAGAGCAGAATGAAGAGATAATTGGTGCAAATTGTGATGCAGTGCGAAACAATCAAGATTTGAACAATGAGGTATCATAAAGTTTCTGTACACATTGCGTATATACGTTACAGGACTGCACCTATTTTGATGAACATGTTGTCTGGGTTTCATTCTAGATGGAGGTGACGGTTGAAGAGAGAAGAGATGAAGAAAATGTTGGGCTGAAAAGGAAAATTGATGAGGTATGATAATAGGTTACTCCCTCCGTTCTCAAAAACATTTCCTCTTTCATTTTTTCCACTTCCAACAAAACACTTCCCCTTTCTATTAAAAAACCACTTTTACCCTTACTTTTTCCTACCCTACCTATCACATCATACTTTTTCTCTAATAATCTATCCATCACATCAGGGGCAAAATTGGAAATCAACTATAATTTAACACTTCCTTATTTTTGCCCCCAAATCAAATGGGAAGGGTTTTTCGAAACGGAGGGAGTATTAAATAGATGACATAGATATCTTCGGCCATTCGTTTAATTTGTTTTGAACAGGTTGTGCAATATGCAAAAGGTGCAAGGGCCAGAAGGAAGACCAAAACAGCTCTGACGTTGAAGTCACCTTACCTAACACGGATGATTGATCCAAGAGATAATGTGAACACATTTGAGAAGAAATTTTGGAAGTGGGTTGTAAACAAGCAAGATGCTGACAGGTTTATGCTTTAACTTTGGTTAAACAATGCATGATATTAGGAAACTTAAAGTAACATTCTTGATATTGGTTCTGTAAAACTTATGCAGGA